TAAAATTATGACTATATGGCCCTAATATCTATTGCATAATTAAAATTAAAGCGGTAAAGTAGAGAGAGAGAGAGAGTATAGAAACCTCCGAGGCAAGCTTTCTATTAATTCTTTGAAAATTAGGGTGCTTTTTGGCAGCCCTTCACTCTTTACAGCGCCGGAATCTCTCGAAAACGCTATAAAACACTCTAGAAAACTCTCAGAAACTCCGAAAATGCTTCGGAGGGGTTCTAGAAAGAGAATTTGAAGAAAAGTCTAGAGAGAAGGTGGAAGAACTGTGGGAAATGAGGGGAATGACGCTCCTATTTATAGGGATTCGCGCCTGTCAGGTCGAGACGGGTCGTCTCGTCTAACAAGGTCGAGACGGTCGTCTCGCCAAATGAGACGGCGGTCTCGCCAAATGAGACGGCGGTCTCGCCACCTTCGCAAGGCGAGACGGCGGTCTCAAATCTGAGATGGCGGTCTCGACCCTAAAAGGCAAAAACCCTTATTTACATGTAGAAAATCCCTCCTATCCTAGTATAGGGCTTAATAGTCTCTCCTAATGGCTTCTTAGGCTTCATCCATCTTCAAAAAGGAGGTCTTCTGGTCTTTATTATGAGACCAGACAAGATTTGGGGTCTACATTGCCTTTGCAAACCATCAATGGTGAGGATAGATTCTTGCTCTCCCTCCTCAAGGGCCCTCATCTGGGTTCCCATGATTTCTATCCTCTGGGTCAAGGCACCAACTTGAGCCTGCAGCTCTTCACTATTGGCACTTGTAACGAGTGAGGTGGATGGTTGAGACATCCCTCTTCTTTTTCTCCACACCTCATAGTCATCGGAGACAGGCACTCGAGCTTTTCCTAGCTCTCTATCTCCCATAAAGACTGGTTTCTCCCATGCTTTTCTCACGGCTAGTGAGTTGGCGATTGTGCATGGGTCTCTGAAGAAACACAGTCCTCCGAGTTCCCCTCGAGAAATTGTAGTTTGAGTCCTCATGAGCTGTCTCATAGCTACTCTAGGTGAGTAGGCTATGCAACCCCTGAGTCCTATCAAGGGTACATTCGGATAGTCTCCACATCTGATGAGGACTGGACCGGGTCGGAACCAAGGGCAGAACCAGGATAAATTGTTGGCGTCCCATTGTTCCAACTCGTCCTTCCACTCCGAGGTTAAGCGTCGTTGGAGAGGGATTTTGGAGAAGCTCCTCAAAGGGTCGGGGAACATCCCCATGTGACTAGAGGCATAAAAATGTGTAATGCCCCACACAAAGAGTAGTGAAGAGCAGCAACGAAGTGTTTTTCCTTGCTTCTGGCGGCAGAATTCCATCGAGAGCAAGGTGTTGGCAAGAATTGCAGGCAAGGGACTCTTCGAGTTCACGTCCCAGGCGAAGAAGGCGTCCATGACGGCTTGATCAACTGTGTCAAGGTGGAAAGGAAACAAGATCATTCCAAATATGATTAAGGCCAGGGTTTTGTTAAAAGCGACCCATTCTGTCCTTTCAGCCAAATCAGACAGATGGTCTTCTAACATTCAAACTTTCCAACCTTGGATGTTCCCTTTTCCTATCCGGGTAGTCTGCCGGAACGGTAGTTGAATGATGGCAGCGACTTGTGCTGCAGGAGTATATGTCCTGTGGCGGATATGGACCCCGACTGATTTGGGCCATTTCAGCATAATTTCGTACTCCTCCAAGGTGGGCACCATATCGAACTGTGGAAATTCAAAACAACGCAGATTGGAGTTCCAGAAGTGAACTAGTACCCTGATGAAAACTTGATCGACATAGATCTTCAACAGATCGAGAATCCTTCCATAGGATTTTTCAAAGTCGGAGCGGACCTCTGGTGGCATTACCGTGCAAAGCCGTTCCAATTTCTCAGTATGGTATCGGGGAATGTCCACCTTCTTCAATTGTCTACTAGTCCCCTCCATTTTCTAAAACCAAAATGCATGTTTTATGAAAATGATGCTTATTGAATGAATGTGAGTGTTTATTTTTCTATTTATCATGTTTTGTATGATATTTGCGTATTTTTTTGAAAAATAAACTACCTATATGAATGATTTATGAGTGTAATATTTTTGAACAAGGTCCTATTTATTGCTTTAAACTGACTTTTGGTTTTTATTTTTATTTTTATTTTATAGCCTTTTATCTCTTCTGTCGGACTGCGTGGCGTCCCTTGTTTTGGCCTTGGCGCACGACCTCCATCAGTTGGGCCATTTGTTCACGGAGGGTATTAACCTTTACAATGAGCTTTCGATTTTGTTCTTCTAGGCTCTCCATAGCTTTTTCCTTTTGTGCACGAGTTCGGATGGGAAGAGGACCAACCACTTTCTAGAATGCCCAAAAGAAATTTATTAATGCATGTTGAGTGTTGGACTAACATGGATATGTATGAGAGATTCTGTTTAGATGTTGGACTAACATCCACGACCAGGCGAGAAGTCGTTTTAATCACGAGGTAGGGTTTTCTTGCAGAAAAGTGCTTTAGCGAAGGTAGGTTCTAACTATTCTCACCAAGGCTAAGGTCCCCAAGGTGCCCCCATTATAGGGTCCCCACTCTCCAGCCTTCCGACCATGCTTAGCACTAAGGCCATAGTCAATCTTTGTGCCAAAAGAGGAAGGTTATCACCTTGAGTGGTGGTTTCCGATCACACTGGTGGGCACAAGGCCATCACTACAGCGAACCGTACCTGCCACCCACTCCCTCTGGTTTTCTCACTTACCCCCGGGTATAGAGGGAACTGTAGTGTGCAAGGATTTGTGTACAGTTTGTATTTCAAACAATTGCGTAAGTATAAACAAACAACAGTTATTAAAGCCAAGCATTTAAAACATGTTATAATACAAGGTAAGGTAAAAGCGTAATTTTCTTGGTTTATTTACTTTAAGCTGGCCCATCACTAAATGAGATCAACTCTCTAGGCTTCCCCAACGGAGTCGCCATTTGTTGCCGCCGTCGAAACGAGGCGGTCGGAGCGACGCGATGGTTTCGACTTTCCAATTTTCACGTTTTTATTGGTGTGGTTACAACGCCTTTAGGTTGTCTGATAACCGGGCTGAACCTAGGGGCGAGGTTTTCGAAAAGGCGCTCTTGGATTGTCCGATAACCGGGCTAACCCAAGAACTAATTTTGAAGGGTTCTTCTGGAGTCGCCACCGATGTTTTTACCGGAAACATCGGAAAAGGAGTGAAAAGGCATTGGTTTTCGAAAAACCAACTTTGGTCATTAGAACCAAAGTTGGGTAAGGGAGTTAGTTACGTGTAATGGAAGCGTTAGTTCCCTTACGACGCCCCTTTCGGGTTCCCAATGATAGGCCAACTACTGGAATAAATAAACCGGTGAAAATACGCTTTTACCCTTTATTTGCGGAATTTAAAGTTACGACTACATGACCCTAATATCTACTGCGTAATTTAAAGGTGAAGCAGTAAAGAGAGAGAGAGAATGTAGAAACCTCCAAGGCTAGCTTGCTATTAACTTCTTGAAAATTAGGGTGCCTTTTGGTAGCCCTTCACTCTCTACTGCGCTGGAAAACTCTCAAAAATGCTATGAAAACTCTTAGAAACTCTCAGAAAACTCCGAAAATGCTTCGGAGGGGTTCTAGGAAGAGAATTTTATGAAGTGACAAGAGAGAGAATGGAAGAACTGTGTGAAATGAGGGGAATGGCGCGACTATTTATAGGGATTCGCACCTGTCAGGTCGAGACGACCGTCTTGTCTGACAAGGTCGAGACAATCGTCTCGCCATTCGGGACGACCGTCTCGCCAAACGAGATGGCCGTCTCGCCATTCGCAAGTGACGAGACGGCCGTCTCGCCAAACGAGACGGCGGTCCTGAATACGAGACGGCGGTCCTGAATACGAGACGGCGGTCTCGACCCTAAAAGGTGAAAATCCTTATTTACATGCAGAAAATCCCTCCTATTCTAATATGGGGCCTAATAGTCTCTCCTAATGGCTTCTCAGGCTTCATCCATCTTCAAAAAGGAGGTCTTCTGGTCTTTATTATGAGGCCGGGCAAGATTTGGGGTCTACAGGGGTGCGTACTCATCGGGCCTTACAAAAGGGGGCTTACCCGTTCATACTCGTCAAACACCAGATGGGGGTGTATACTCACCAGGCCTTACAAAAGGGGGGCTTACCAAATAGGGGTTCATACTCGTCAAACCGGATGGGGGTTCGTACTCATCAACTGAAGGGGTCAGCTACCGCATCAAAGGAGCATCCCAGAGGATCACACTTAGCATCTAGAAGGTCAGCTACCACAACCAGGAAAGCAACCGAAGGACAATTCGGCAAGAGGGTTAACTCCTTCATCCTCCAGCCTATCTTTTTAGCATATTGAGCCAACAGTCGGCTAGTCAGGTGAAGGGGGGGGGGGCACCTGTAGACCCCAAATCTTGCCCGGTCTCAAAATAAAGAGCAGAAAACTTCCGATTCAAAGATGGGCAAGGCCTAAAAGGTCCCTAGGATAGACCAATAGGCCACATATTAGAATAGGAAGGTTTTTTGTACGGAAAAATAAGAAATTCCACCTAAAAGGCTGAGACCGTTGTCTCGTTTGGCGAGACGGCCTTCTCGCCAATCGCTAATTGCCAATGGTGAGACCACCATCTCGTTTGGCGAGATGACCTTCTTGCCATTTGCCAAGAGCGAGACCGCCGTTCCGTTTGGTGAGACAACGATCCCAACCTGATAGGCGCAAATTCCTATGAAAGGGGGGGGGGGGCGACCTCATCCTTTTGACAGCATTATTCAACCTTCCCTTTTACAACTTTCTCAAATTTTTCTCCTAGGATCCCTCCGAAGCATTTCTGGAGTTTCTTAGTATTCTTAGTAAGTGTTTTCTAGTGTTGCAAGAAAGAGCGATCAGCACTATATAGCATGGAGGTTGCCAAAAAGCGCCTTTCTTTACCAAGAATATTAATACAAAAGCTTGCTTCGAAGGTTCCTTCACTTTCTCTCTTCTTTTATCGCTTTTTTATTACATCTATCTGTGCATTAGTTGTTAGGGTCATGTAGTCAACATTTTAAATTCCGCAAACGAATAAACGTCATGCCCCTTATGCCCTGGGCGACACATGTGCTACAATGGACGGGACAAAGGATCGTGATCCCGCGAGGGTGAGCTAACTCCAAAAACCCGTCCTCAGTTCAGATTGTAAGCTGCAACTCGCCTGCATGAAGCCAAAATCACTAGTAATCGCCGGTCAGCCATACGGCGTTGAATTCGTTCCTAGGCCTTGTACATGCCGCCCGTCACACTATGGGAGCTAGCCATGCCCAAAGTCCTTACCTTAACCGCAAGGAGGGGGATGCCGAAGGCAGGGCTAGTGACTAGAGTGAAGTCGTAACAAGGTAGCCATATTGGAAGGTGCGACTCGATCACCTCCTTTTCAGGGAGAGCTAATGCTTGTTGGGTAGTTTGACAGTGCTTCACACCCAAAAAGAAGCGAGTTATGTTTGAATAAAATTTGGAGATGGAAGTCTTCTTTCGTTTCTCGCTGCCAAAAGGAGCGTCGTAGGGAAGCTAATACCTTCCCTACACGTAACTAACTCCCTTATCCAACTTTGGTTATAATGGCCAAAGTTGGTTTTTCTAAACCAACGCCTTCTTTTTCTTCCTTTTCCAATGTTTCTGGATAAAACATTGGTGGCGACTCCAGAACCCTTTTCGAAAACCTTGCCTCTAGGTCCAACTTAGTTATCGAACAACCTAAAGGCGTTGTAACATCACTTTAAAAATGCGAGTCGAAGCCAAATCATCGCGTTGCTCCGACCGCCTCTTTTGACGGCGGAGACAAGGTGTGATGGTAACCTTCATTTTATTCGTGATGGGGAAGGAACCATTATACCGAGGTGGGTATGATACCCCATAAAGTGTAAGCTTTAAGGAGGATATCTGTAGAGCCCAAATCTTGCTCGGCCTTAAAATAAAGAGCAAAAGACTTCCGTTCGAAGATGGGCAAGGCCTAAAAGGTCCCTATGATTGATCAATAGGCCCCATATTAGAATAGGAAGGATTTTTGTACAAGAAAAATAATAAATTCAACCCAAAGGGTCGAGACCACCGTTTCGTTTGGCGAGACCGCCGTGTTGCCACTCGCCAATGGTGAGACCGTCATCTTGCCACTTGCCGAAGGCGAGACGGCCATCCCGTTTGGCGAGAGAACGGTCCCGACCTGACAGGTGAGAATTCCAGTAAAAGGGGGGGGGGACTTTCTCACTCTTTACACACACTTCTACCACTTTCCCTTCTGTAATATTCTCGAATTACTCTCTTATGACCCCTCTGAAGCATTTCCAGAGTTTTTTATAGTTTTTAGAAAGCGTTCTAGAGTACTGTGAGAAAAAGCGATTATCATTGTAGAGCGTGGGGATTGCCGAAAAGCACCCTCTTTCAATAACATACTATAAAAGCTTGCTTCGAAGGTTCCTATATACTTCTTTTTCTATTTTATTGCTTTTTAGATAATATCATTGTGCATTAGTCACTTAGGGCCATGTAGTCAATAACTTAATTTCCGCAATGAATAAATAAGGGTAAAAGCGCAATTTTATAGTTATTATTTCTTTATAAGAAAGGGTCCATCATAGGGAACCCGAAAGGGGCATTGTAGGGAGGCTAATACCTTCCCTACATGTAACTAACTCCCTTACCTAACTCTAGTTGTAATGACCAAAGTTGGTTTTTCTTAAAAAACCATTGCCTTCTTTTTCCTTTTCCAATGTTTCTGGTAAAAACATTGGTGGCGAGTCCTCGAACCTTTCGAAAACCTCGCTTTTAGGTCCAGCCCAGTTATCAGACAACCTAAAAAGTGTTGAACCACACTTTTAAAAACGCGAGTCAAACAAAACCATCGTGTCGTTTCGACCGCCTCTTTTGACGGTGGCGACAGATGGCGACTTCACTGGGGAAGCTAGAGAGTTGATCCCATTTAGTGATGGACTAGTTCTAAGAAATAAAATTTAAAAATGTGCCTTTACCCTTCCTTGTGTTTATAACATGTTTTAATTGCTTGGCTTTAATAACTGTTGTATGTTTATTTTATGCAAGTTGTTTGAAATACAAACTGTACACAAATCCTAGCACACAACAGTTCCCCCTATACCCGGGGGCAAGGGGGATATCCATAGGGAGTGGGTGGCATTGTATGATTTGTCGTAGTGAGGGCCATGAGCCCATTGGTATGTGTAGACCCCAAATCTTGCCCGGCCTCCAAATAAAGAGCAGAAGACCTCCTATTTGAAGATGGACGAAGCCTAACAAGCCATTAGGAGAGACTATTAGGCCCCATACTAGGATAGGAGGGAGTTTCTGTACCAAAAAATAAGTTTTCTCGCCTTGTTGGGACGAAACTGCCGTCTCGCCTCAGGCAAGTGGCGAGACCGCCGTCTCGCTTGACGAGACGGCGGTCTCGCCACCTCCGAAGGATGAGACGGCGGTCCCGTTTCCCCAGACGGCGGTCTCACCGCGTTTGACAGGGCGAGACGGTGGTCTCGTTGGACGAGACGACGGTCTCGACCCTGTCAGACGAGACCGGCGGTCTCGCCATCTGACAACGTGAAAACCTATAAATAGGGGCCTCCCCCCCCTCATTTCCACACACCACAAGCTTCTAGCTCTCCCTTCTCTCTAAAACTTCTCTCTAGAATCCCTCTGACGCATTTCCGGAGTTTCTGAGTGTCTTTGAGAGCATTTTTCGGCGTCCAGAAGAGTTTCCGGCGTCTTGTAGAGGGAAGGGCTGCCAAAAAGCACCCATTTATTTTAAAGAAATATAAAACAAAGCTTGCTTCGGAGGTCTAATTTCTCTCTCTCTTTCTTTACCGCTTTAATTTAAATTATGCAATAGATTAGGGCCATGTAGTCATAACTCTAAATTCCGCACAATAAAAAGGGAAAAAGAGTATTTTCCAGTTTATTTATTAACATAAAAAGCTGGCCTATCATAGGGAACCCGAAAGGGGCGTCGTAAAGGGACTAATACTCCCTTTACACGTAACTAACTCCCTTACCCAACTCTGGTTCTAATGACCAAAGTTGGTTTTTGAAAACCAACGCCTTTAAAAACCCCTTTTCTGATGTTTCCGGTAAAAACATCGGTGGCGACTCCACAGAACCCCACAAAAATTAGTCCTTGGGTTAGCCCGGTCATCGGACAACCCAAGGACGCCCTTTCGAAAACCTCGCCCCTAGGTTAGCCCGGTTATTGGACAACCTAAAGGCGTTGTAACTACCTATAAAAAACGCGAAAATCAAAAAGGGTCGAAACCATCGCGTCGCTCCGACCGCCATCTTTTTGGCGGCTTAAATAATAAATAAACCAAGAAAATAACACTTTTGCCCTTAACTTGTATTTATAACATGTTTTAATGTTTGGCTTTAATAAATTGTTGTTTGTTTATACTTGCGCAAATTGCTTGAAATATAAACTGCACACAAATCCTTGCACACAACAGTTCCCTCTATACCCGGGGGCAAGTGAGATAACCATAGGGAGTGGGTGGCAGGTACGGTTCGCTGTAGTGAGGGCCTTGAGCCCACCAGTGTGATCGGAAACCACCACTCAAGGTGATAACCTTCCTCTTTTGGCAACAAGACTGACTATGGCCTTAGTGCTAAGCATGGTCGGACGGCTGGAGAGTGGGGACCCTATAATGGGGGCACCTTGGGGGCCTTAGCTTGGTGAGAACAGTTAGAACCAACCCTTGCCAATGCACTTTTCTGCAGGAAAACCCTACCTCGTAAAAATGAATTCTCGCCTGTTCGTGGATGATCGAATTGTGTGTGCATATGATTGTTGCATTTGTATGTTGCATGGCATAAACAAACAACAAAACAAAAACCCAAAATATTTTTCACAAATAAACACCCTTATCTCGGACAGTCTGCCTTTTAGCTAGCCTGGTTTCAGGTTCTTTGTAAGCTAAGTAGCCACGCAGTTCTGACAGAAGAGATAAGGGACGATAACTATTCTTTCGCGTAAAGCCATATTTTATCTCGGACAGTCTGCCTTTTAGCTAGCCTGGTTTCAGGTTCTTTGTAAGCTAAGTAGCCACGCAGTTCCGACAGAAGAGATAAAAGGCTATAAAATAAACAAATAAACATCAAACAAAAAACAAAAAACACCAGAAAATAAATGAATCAACTTCTGACAAAATCAAAATCATTCATATTACATCATACCATGAGTAAAGAAAAAACCAAGAGAGAAAATAAAAAAATGAGAGCGCATTCAGCATCATTTAAATAAAATCTCTCATGCATAAGCATACCCCATGTTAGTTTAAGCACTCAACATGCATTAATAAAACTTTTTCGGACATTATAGAAAGTGGCTGGTCCTCTCCCCACTCGCACTCGAGCACAAAAAGCAAAAGTAATGGAAAGTCTAGAAGAGCAAAACCAAAAGCTCACTGCGGAGGTCAATACCCTCCGTGAGCAGATGGCCCAACTGATGGAGGTTGTGCGCCAGGGACAGAGCAAGGACAAAGACCAAGCTGAACACGTCCCTCCCCATGAAGAGGACGAAGAAGAATACTTCTATGACGAGAAGGATGCTAAGACTGCACGCATCCTTACTCCAGAGGTGTCCAAACAACAACTCTCTGCTCTGGAGGAGAGGCTCAAGGCAGTTGAGGGGCACAACTTCGACGTCAAGGAGGTGGCCGACATGTGCCTAGTAAAGAACATCCGCTTCCCTCCCAAATTTAAAATCCCGGACTTCCCCAAGTATGCTGGGATGACCTGCCCTAAAAACCATCTTACGATGTATTGTCGTAAGATGGCCGCCCATGCTGAAAACGAGAAGCTCCTGATCCACTGCTTCCAGGAAAGTTTGGCGGACACCGCGCTCAACTGGTACATGCAGTTAGAGAGAGGGCAGGTCCAGAACTGGAAACAGCTGGCAGACGCTTTCCTCCGTCGTTACCGATACAACATCGATCTGACACCCGACAGGTCAGACATTAGAGCTCTGAGCAAACGGAATGACGAGGCATTCAAAGCGTATGCCCAAAGGTGGAGGGAAATGGCCGCCCAAATAGAGCCTCCTTTGACGGACAAAGAAACAGTGGCTATGTTCATAGACTCACTAACCGGAGCGTACTACGACAAGGCAATAGCCAATACCTCCAACCTTTTTTCAGACATAGTCACTGTGGGGGAAAGAGTGGAGCAGGGGCTGAGGAGTGGAAAAATAGCATGACCCTCTCCTTCCAGCACATCATTCAAGAAGCCCTTCAAAAAGAAGGAAGAGGCCGTACACGCCATTAATTTTGCAACCCCTTCCTCCACCCCTCAGTCCGAGCGGCAGCCACGAAAAAAGGAGAGGAAGTTCA